GCCGCGCCCACGAATCTTCGAGGTGCCTTGGCCGGGCGAAGCTTCTCGCCTCTCTACTGGCGGAACATGCACGCCGGCCTCGTGGACTGCGTGCGCCAGCTCGGCTTCCCCTCCATGTTCGTGACCGTGGCCCCCTTGGAACTGTCGGCACCTTACCATCACTGGCTTCAGGACGAGCTTGGCAAGGCCTGCCGCTGCCGCTCGAACCTTCCGGCGGCGGAGACATTCCACCTCGCGCACCTGCTCTTCCAGACTGCCCAGGGCCTCCTCGCCGGGACCAACCGACAGCAGACCGCCAGGACGAGTCGACGATGGGATCGGCACGTCTTGGCGGGTCGCGACCCTGCCGTTTCCAGCGTGGTGGAAGTCTTTGCTCGTCTCGAGTTCCAGGACGGTAAACGCAAACGGCACGTTGGCCCGGGTCAATCATATCATGGCTCCGGCCGCGTCCATTTGCACCTTTTGGTCTGGCTCAAGGACGCCGGCAGCATCGACTGGCCGCGCGTCGTGCGGGCAGATATCCCGGATGCGACAACGGAGCCCGAGCTGCACGATCTGGTTCGTGATTCACAGCAGGACTGGGACGACAGCGCCTGGCCACGGAGAGATGGTCCCACGGTCTTCGACAGCGCAACGGGCGTCCTGCACCTCCACCATCCGGCCGACGCCCACGCAGCACACGTCCGAGCCTACTTGCCCGACGTGCTGGGGGCGCTGCAGTGTCACATGGACGTGCAGATGGGTGACGGCCGTGGAATGTTGCTGCAGTACGCGGCCAGCTACAACGCCAAGTTCAGCGACCAATTTGCAACCGCCTGGCTGAACGAGGAGGCAACAGATTTCCAGCTGGCCCGCAAGGTTCTTATGGAGTACCACCCGCTCGAGCCCGAGATGTGGCTCCAACTCGCCGGGAAGCAATTTCGGCAGGTGCTCCAGACGGGGGTGCTGCGCCGCGTCGTCGTGCACCCGCCTTGGGCCGGCTTCCCTCCGAGCCGCTGGGAATCTCTCTACACGACCTGTGCTTGGCGGTCCGAGAGCTGCACGTTTCTGGAATACATGCGACAATGCAACCAGTCTGGAGACAGGCGCAAGAACAAGCGCCGCGTGCTCGTGGCGGCGACGCTGCACTCGGCTCTGAGGGACAGCTACTTTGGGCAGTGGCTGCTGCTCAATGTGCCCTTCCGTTCCCTTGCTGATCTGTGGGATGATCGGGTGGCTAAGGCGCCCGAGGGCTATCGGATGCTGGCCCTGTGTTTGCTGCACCGTCCCGGCTACTGGCGTCGTCTCCACGACGTGCAGCGTGACCTCCACTTGGAAGGCCACAAAGACGCTCACATCTGCAACGTCCTGAGCATGTTGGAGGCTCGCACCGCCGTCGTCGACTCCTACCTCTCCGGCTCACTGGTGCTTGACGTGGACATGCCTCCGCAGCCGGACTTCCTCGCCGCCCCCGAAGTCGGCTACCGTGGGGAACTGGATCCGGAGCAAGCGGTCGTGGTGGAACACGTCCGGAACATGGTTCGGTGGGCACTGGAGCGCCGGTACCCCGAAGACGCAGACCCCGCCCAATTGCACGACTTCCTCGACCGAACTCGCTGCTCCCCGCCACAGATGCTGCAGCCCCTCTGTGTGTTGGGGCCTGCCGGGTCGGGCAAGAGCACCGCGCTGGAGGTGGCCGTCCAGCGTGCCGCGGAGGCCGGCGCCCACGTTGGCATTGCGTGCCCGACCGGCATGCTTGCGAGCGCATACCGAGAGAAGTTCCCGGGCTTGGATGTCGACACCTTGCACGGCATGTTTCTGCTGCATCTGCCCCAGGAGGAGACGTGGGATTGCATGGCAAGCTTTGATTTGATCGTCATCGACGAGGTGGGCCAGCTCTCTCGCACGACTTTCGAACGCCTGCTGTGGTTGTGGGACAACGCAGATCGCCGCCCGGCCTTGGTGTTCGTCGGCGACTTTCACCAGCTGCGCGGCATGGACCCCACGAGGGCCTCCGACAGCCCTCGCTGGCGCGGCGTCGTGAAGCGCCACCTGCAGACGATGCGGCGGTGCAAATGTCCCGACTTGCGCTGGAAGCTGGAGCTCCTGCGCAGCACCAAGCCTTCCAAAGAGCAGCTGCTCCGCATCCTGCGGGGGCATCGGGCAATGCCCGATCGAGGCTTCGGCGTCAGTCAGGAACCCACCGAGCTGGACGTCCAAGGAATGCTGCA